ATCTTAACTCTTTTATTTACTGCCTTTTTCTTCTTAATGGCAGGTTATGTTGCGAAATATAACTCGTATGAAATGCTGAGTTATTTGCAAAACTCCGGACCACAGGTGCAAGAGTTAAGATTGTGATTATAACTAAGCCTCAGCTTAACTGGGTTCAATGCCGATATTGGCTCCCCAGATCAACCCTGTTGACGGGTGATTGCTGATGGCAAAAAAGATCGATAGAACTAGCTGAGATACACGCAAAGCGAAGGACCCGGATAGTGTAGTGGTGAAGTGCGCTGCTCCCCGGTAAGGACAATAGCGCGTGTTCGTTCTCCATTGCATGCACCTGTGGTCCGGAGTTTTGCAAATATCTCAGCATTTCATACGAGTTATATTTCGCAACATAACCTGCCATTAAGAAGAAAAAGGCAGTAAATAAAAGAGTTAATACTTGCATAGTGGCAAATCTTTCCCTGAACCAAGGATGACTACTGCTAGTGGTGGCGAAGACGTGGGGCAGATTTTGGCCAGGCTGACCTCGGGATTCCTGGGAGCCACAATGGCTTAGCCAGCAAATCCCCTGAAAAATGGAGATTATGCTGAGGCCCGTATAATCAGTGAGGACGGGACATTCAAGTATCAAGTATCAAGCATCTTTGAGATTTAGCTCTACGCTTTTAGTAGGCATCAGCAGTGTTGCTGCTGAAAAGTCTGTCGCTCTTGCCCTTCATTTTCAAAAAGCAACAGTTGAGCGGAATCTCGCTGAGACGATTTCAAATCACTCTTCTTTTTCAGCGTTCATTATATTTTGGGAATCGGTCGCCAAGTTTTATGATACTTTGTGCGACCTTCGGAAAAATCATGATCAGCAAGATTTTCATTCGCACCAATCTTTTTAGATGTTCTATGGTTTGTTATCAGGCTTGATACTGTGGTGCGATATTTGGAAAACCGTTTTTTAATGGAACCAACTGCCTATTTACATATTCCACGATCAGTTCTTTAGTTGACTTACAATGTTGAAGTAATTTTAAGAATTTTAATTTTAAAAGAAAAAGAAGTAATTTTTAGTAAATTTGGTGTGCACCTCAACACTGAACTGAACAACGCTAATAGGACGGTGTTCCTCTCCGTTTCGCCTTTTCTAGTTGCCAGAACTACGAGAAAAAGGCCTTTTACATTTTCCTAGGGTGGCAGGTCTATTAATGGTAACATTCGCTGCTTTCACTGGAATTGCCGCCTTCTTGGAAGAAGCCGAATCGCAACGCATTAAATATACCAATGATCCACAAGTGTGTGCACCTGTTTGCGTTACAAACTGAGAATTCCTTAGCACGGTTCTCTAGGAAGACCTCGCTTCACAAGCATTCAACGACATTCCTAACGAAAACCAAAAATCCTCATGTAGCAGTCGGATCCGCCTGCAAAACGTTCGACGTCCTTCATGGATAATGAACACGAACAAGTGATTCGAATGCAAGAAGTACTTGCACCTACAGAGTAGATGTTGTTGAAGGGTTGTGTAAAAAAAATGTTTAGGAAATTCGTGATTAGCATCTTGGCGAAAACTATGTGAGGCATTCTCAAAAGCCTATTCAGTTCTAAAAGTTATTTTTGTACTCTTCTGTTTACAGTAGTAAGGTGTGCGGTTGTATTCTATTAGTTGGGAACCGAGAAAAGCTGTAAGCAAAATGTCATCAATGTTTAACGTTTTTGTTTTCTGCCTTCTATAATTTTCATGGCAGGTTACTAAGCGAAATACAACCACAACGTTGCTGAGATATTTGCAAAACTCTGGACCGCAGGTGTCTCTGGTGGGGAACGAACGCGCTATTATCCTTTCCGGGGAGTAACGCGTTCACCACCACACCAAGCGGGTCCTTCGTTTCGCATGTCAAAAAAAGACCGATAGAAATAGCTGAGAGACATGCGAAACGAAGGACCCGCATGGTGTGGTGGTGAACGCGTTGCTCCCCGGAAAGGATAATGTCATCAATTTTCAAGCTTTGTTCAGGTTGATTTCTTGATATTTTATATTTTCATAGCACTGCTGGTATTTCGCAACAAGATTTGCTTTTGAAGTTCTAAAAGACATCTCAGAAAGTATCCGTGTCGTCACAGACTCTCTATGATCTATTGGAACCACAACTCTTTTAGAGCTCCTAATTTCAACTCAAACTTAGTTCTTAGGAAGAATGCTTGTTTTTAATTCTGAGAAGAAATGCGTTAATACATGGAGGCTACTTTGCCAGAAGAACAATATCACCATTTCGACCATTACGTTAACAGTTTTATAGCTTACAAAGAAAATATGTAGACAGAAATATTATTGCTCTCTTATGTTAGTTCCCTTCCAACAATTTACCGCCTTATCGTGGGTAGGAGGTGTTCCTTGGTGTTGGGCTGCGATGTAGAGCGGGAGTTCATCCACCGAGCAGGGTATCCAAAGCTAAGAAGGAGTCTGGTGTTTCCATCAGGAAGCCCGAGTGAACAACCAATACTAGGATCCACCATAGTTCTGGTATCTAACCAGTTACATGGTGGCAGATGTCCCTCTGATCCAAAACGTCGGCGACTGCATGTGGTGGCGACGACTTGGAACAGACTTTGGCCTGGCTGACCTCAAAACTCGAAGGAATCACAGTGGCTAAATCAGTAAAACTCCGAAAAATGAAAATTGTACTGGGACTCGCACAACTAGTGTGAGTATTCAAGTAGGTATGTTGGCTCAGCAAAAGCGTTGCAAGTGTGCATTCAAAGCAATCGTACCCAGCGCTTTCCCAAAAATGTTCGTAACAATAGGCAAAATAAGATATCACAAAACGACTCCAACTTCCAATTAACACTAAATGAAATGTGAACCTAATCGAGTTGTTTTTTAGGTGTGAAAGGTTTCCCCATAAAAGCAAGCGCTCATCCATACGGTGAAAACCCTGACAGCTACTCCGTTAACGAATCAATAGATCTACAGGTTTATCTACAAAATGGCGAATGGGATCTGATGAGTGTGTTAACGATACTTCTTTATATTGTCATGAATAAACGCCGATTAATGTTAGGGTTGACCACTAGATCACAGTGGTTTTCATGAATTCAGTCATGACAAGTTTTGGCAGTCTGGCACTTTGGCATTAAATTTTGTGCAATTATGGTAACTATTTAGAAAAAAAGCGAGATAAAAATGGCTCCTACGAAAGTGAAACTCGCCTAAACGTTAGCCATTGTGAAGAAGACGTTGCGTTAACAGCTTAATGTCAATGTCTTAACTTCTACATTTGGGACTCACATCGGCGGTTGCTCTTTCCATGGGCGCACTCATTACCCATTGTACTAACTGATGGGCTGCCTTGGCTTACTCGGTGCCGTTTTCTAATCTAACGGTGCTATCGGCAATCACCTCCATCGCATCTTCATATCAGTTCATCAGTTCCTGATGGCACTAGCTCTAGTTGGTATTTTTTCTCTAGGTGAGCCGTAACCACCTCTATTACCCGCGGCTCCTTAATGATTTCATAACTCTATCGGGAACTAGTTGGTTGTGTAACTTTATTTGATAAGATGCTCCTTTTTCAAGGTGTCTGTGAAAAGAAAATCCAATGGGAGCTTAACGTATTTTGCCGAAGCATACGTTTTTTTTAGCCAACCTTCGAGATAAAAACACTGCTGTTTGGAGAACCATGTTTAAGGAGAAGCGTCGCTGTAGATTACATTGTGATATTCTTCACAAGTCGGTAAATCGTAAAGGGATAAGTGGAAGTAACTGCTAATAGACTTTGAAAGCTCGGTGTTCTAAGCGCGGAAGACTCATGTGTCCTCTTGAACTCTAATGGCATTAATCAATATTAGAAAACCCGTAATGCATAATATTTAGTTATTGACTCATATTGTGACCCTTTTTAATCACTCAATAAAATTTCACTAATATTCAGCAGCTTTCTTACAGTTGTTCTTTATATGCTTTAATCATAGAGGATGTTTTGTCAACACTGTGAACACAGCGGATCGATCCTTCGTTAAAGGTACTCCTGGAGTCCGTGTGGTAACTGAGTTCGGTGACGCATCGTATCATGAGCTCTATTATTACATCCGTATTCGTAGAAGAACTCTCGCGTACGGCATCAATCTAATTATTCCATCGTTGGTTATATCAATGATGACGGTGCTAGGATTCACTCTACCGCCAGATGCATGCGAAAAGATTACTTTAGGTAAGAGTAAACGCTGGATTTACAGCGAATTCTTTTACTTCAATTGTTTGCTTTCGTACACTATGTTGCTTCCAGTACATCCTTATTTAATTCGCTGCCCAAAATTTTTTATCCTCGAGGGTCTCCGGATTTACATTTGAGTTCTGATGCTGCTAAGGATTTTACCTTTTCTACATGTGTGGTTGAAGGCTAATCGAACAGGTTTCCACTGAAGTTCTGGAATAGCTGTGCTAGGCCGTTTCTACACCGTCACTCGGTGCCTTCATCATAAGCCCCGCTTGTGTTTTTGATCAGATCGAGCTTTAACCAAATGAGTTCTGTGCCGTTTTACCAACCAAGGGAACAGGAATGGCTCACGTGGTTTTCCCAGCACTGGGTAGAACCAGAGAACGCGGTTCTGTAGCACGGCAACTCTAAGCTTTGCATTCCTTACCCCCAAATCAAATCACTAAGCGTATGAAGAGAAATAAGAGAAACAATAAAAAAGAATTTTCTTCAGAGACCACTGTACTGTTGTCGGTGATCTTTTTTCTTCAAATGGTCTCCAATATGAGTCCACCACAATCGAAATCGGTTCCTATTCTCGGTGATTCATTTTAATTTTCACTGTAGCTTTGCAGCTTTCCAACAAAATTCTAATTTCCAGCTTCCTTCTTTTCGTGTTGCTTAATGGTGGTGGCTTGTTCATGTGTATTCACTGTCCTAACTATATGCTTACACCAAAGGAAAGCTGAGACACATGAAATGAGTCCACTTGTGAGTTCCTAGGTTTTCAATCCTTACGGCGATGGAAAGGTACTGTCCTAATATGTTTACCTCCATTATTTACATGCAGGAAACTGTTATTATTTCATTTATTAATCTTTACTAAGTCACAGCTATTCTAGAAGTAATTGAACTCCCTAACGTTCCAATAGTTTTCCTTGACGGTTAGTTACTTGTGTAACCGCCCGTTTTTTAACTGGTTAGTAGACAGCCATGTGAAAACGGAAAAAAATAGATTTTGAACTGTTATTTTAGGTTAAAGGCTGTTATATAAATTAGCAGCTCTAGGTTTATTCTTTTCTTCTTTTTTTCTAAAAACCGATCATTTTCAGATGCACCGCATCTTCGTGGTGTGGCTACCGTATATCCTAATGATGCGAACTCCAGATCATCCGCGAGCTCCAAAACCAAAGGTACATCAAAGAGTCGGTTACTTTATTACGTGCTAGATTTAGCGCCCTAACACAGCAACATAGCGACTCCCCTTTGAGATATCTTCGCTAAATAATTGTAAATCCTAGGTGATCGATAAGTCGATTCTACCAGTTCATCGCCTTAGCATATTTCCAGTAATTAATTTGCCTAAACTGCCGTCTACCAACACCTGCATCCGAAAATGCTCCACGAGGAAATATGGTGGGGAAAAAACTGATTGAATCTTACTAGTAGTAATGTTATTTATGCTTACAATAATGTCAACTCTTTTTTTAAACACGATCCTTTTTTCACAACCACTGTGTGGATCCCAGCACTTTTCACACTCCGTTTCCCGCATCCATCATCCACGAAGGTTTTTCCAACATTTTACGTGTGGCTTCGGCTGCTTCTTGAGGATTTTCCTTTCAACATTAATGTCGCCTGGTCGTCGAGTCGATCACCCATGGCATCCTTAGGTAGCTGAGCTAGGGATTACCTACCTCGACTGTAGAGTATAAACTTTTTCCACTCACGTCTTGTACCAATTCTCAGAACTCAGAGAAATAAGAGGCTTGGTGAGCCTGGTGCGGGAACGAACTAGCATTGTGCTCTTAATGATCAGCGTCACAGCCACTGTCTCATCCGGCCCACTAATGTTAACTGTACTACTTGCACTTATAATGGTCATCAAGTTACATCAATTGGAAGAATTGAAGAGTACAGTAATATTGTATGGAATAAATTTTTCTTATGAAACAAAACAATCACTTATGGCCACCTGGATTTATCGTGCCATAGGCTTAGTATCACCCGCGCTTGCGAAATGAAATACGGAAGTTTGCCAGATTGTGTGATTCAGCAGGAGGTGAGGAGGCTTTCTGTATCGCATTTGAACAGCCATGAACATCCACGAAATACGTTATGGGATAATGGTGATTTATAATAGTTAATGTTAACATAGGGAACAGATAGCAAAGTGATGGCGATGCCGCTCATCACGAGCATGGTACTAGATCTGTTGCGCCCGGGTCAACCAAGACTATCATCCCCCCGGGGTTGGAAAATTGGTAGCGTACTTGTCTGGGAAAAATCGCTTTCTGCAATCCAAGTGGGGACGCTCCAGCCCGGATATCTTAGGACTCCAGGGAGAATTGCTCGAATAGCATTCTACGACATTCAGGATGAAATGAAAATCCTCATACAGCAACCGAAGCCACACATAAAGTTGGATGATCTTCGTTGACAGTGTATGCGAGGAAACGAATTGAATGTGAGAAGTGCTGGGATCCGTACAGTATCCGTAAAGGCGAGGTAGATAAAATAGAATAAAAAATAAATAATGAAACCACTTAACATTGTCGAGTCCGTCTTTCTTTTGTTGCTGCAACATGGCGTAAAAATAGTTCAGCTGTTGAACAATCATAGTTGCTAAGTGGATTACTAGAAAATTCTTTTAATTATTGATAAACTATTGCAATTGTTGTCAGTACTTAGACACTTGGATACATAGATGGCCCGTCCTCACTGGTTCTGCAGGCCCCAGCATAATCTCCATTTTTCGAAGATTTGCTGGCTAAGCCATTGTGGTCTCCTGAAATCACGAGGTCAGCTTGGCGAAGGTCTGCCCCAGGTCTTCATCGCCACAGGCAGTCGCAGTCCTCCAGCCCTCGGAGATCAGAGTGAGACTTGCCACCATGGGACTTTGATACCCGGGCGGTGGTGGATCTTGGTATTGGTTTACTTTTAGCTAGGTTTCCTGATGGAAACGCCGGACTCTTTTTTAGTTCGGAAGACCATGCCAGATGGATGAGTTCCCCGCTGTACATCGCAATTCAACACCCAGGAACACCTCCCAACCACGATAAGGCGGTAAACCGTCGCGAGCTGCTTTTAGTACTACGTAGTACGATTATTAAAGTTCTTATTATTGTCAGCTGCCATTGGCATTATCAGAGTTTCATTTTTTAGAGAAACGACCGCCATATCTGAAATACCTTGTTCAATTCTGTGATGAACTGAAGGAAATCAACGTCGATCTTGAAAAGATGTCATCAGTAATCAAAGACGTGTATACTAGTGAGATGGTGAAGTGTTGCGCACGCTATCTTTCGTTTCTAAGTTAAAAATATGTTCCATGGAAAATGTAGCTATCAATTGCGATCTTTGTTGTGGCGGGTCAACGTATTTCACGTATACAGAGTTCTAACAAGGTGTCCTGCTTCCTGTTTTCTATTAAAGAACTTTACACTTTTCTAATACTCATTCGTGTTGGTTCGAGTTTGCTACTACTTAATCCACTTGAGAGCTAGTAGATGTGGTAGTCCCGGAATAAAACCATATACCCGTTGTAGGAGTGCGTGTGGAGCCGGTCTGAGGCACCCTAGAACACACACGTGGAATCGGTCTCCAAGCCCATGGGCAAGCCTTCCATCCTCCGGGGTGGGCAAATTGGTACCAGATTTGTCTGGGAGGATAATAGCACTGGCTCAATACATCGGTAGGCCACCGTGAGTTATTGTAAAGACCAGATATGCATTCAGTCATCTCCAAACGATGCTTAACGAAGCCGAATGCATGACGCATCTCTCGGAGATTGATCAACGCCAAGAGCTTTATCGTTTTCATCATTTTTTAATACCCGTTGCATTGAAGTCCTGACCATTTCGAGTGTGTTGCTGCTCTTGGCTAATTATATTCCAATGATTTGAAAGAGAGGAAAACAAAAGCGGGAAAGGAGGGAATTTATCTCATATGTAGAACAAATTATCTGCAAAAAAATAGAGAAAAATATCCCTTTAAAAAAACAACATGCTTTTTTAAATTTTGAATCAGGTGAAAATATTGATACACACATCACCGTCATTGCCACTTTGATTGAGACGATCTTTACCACGAGTTCAGGTAACACAATGCCTGCTAATCGAAACCGGTATTTCACTGCAATTCGAAAATTTCCTGTTCGTTTCTGTTCTATGCCATGCTTATATCAACCGAAAAACAGTAAATTTTTACCTGAACTTCTTAAATCAAAGGATAAAGCTGTTCGCGTTGATCAAAATCTCTGAGGGATGCGCCATGCATTCATTAAGCATCGTTTGGCGTTGATTGAATGCATATCTAGCCTTTACAATGACTCGTGGTGGCCTACCGATGTAACGAGCCAGCATTGTTCTACTCCAAGAGATGTCGTACCAATATGTCGACCCCGGAGGGATGGAAGGCTTGGTGGGCCATGGGCGTGGGTATTGATTCCACGTTTGCGCCCTCTGAACTTCTTGTTAAGTAAAAATCAGTCACTTGGTTATTATTGGAAAATTTGGTTGCCAAAATCACGAAAGATACTTGTCATTCGACTGAAATGGTTTTGTTTGCAGATCCGATCGGAGTGGAGATTTGCTGCGATGGCAGTTGATCGTCTTTGCCTGTATTTGTTCTCAGTTTTCATTGCCGTCTCGACTTTTGGTATTATCATGCCGCACATTCTTGTGTAAGCAATAAGCTTATCCCTTACTTCTATAATTTTTTCAGCACAGACTTTTTCAGTGGTTTGGGAGAACAAATGTGAAGATGAAGAAGAAGGAAGATAAGAAAGAAATAGGAGAATGAAGACATCAGATGAAGAAATGCGCTACATTCCGAAAATAAACTCTAAAACACTTCCATTGCCGAAGTTGATTTCATGATTTTATAGTTTAAGAACAGTGGAAACTATTTCTACACTCATTTGGATGGCTAGCCTGCTCATTTCGCTCAAATGCTTTTTCTTACAAAATGCGCAGAAGCGATGGATTTCATTCTTTGAGATATTCCCATTCGGTCAGTGGCAAAGGTAGGCGGAAAATTTCCAGGTGACGGATATTACATTAAAACGCTAGCGACCTTATGCCTTTCTTAGACGTAGATTCATGGGATGGGATTCCCTCTTGCTGCTGTGGAATAAGACTTCTGCATTTACCTTAACACGTTCATGTGCAGGGAGCTGTGTTTGTGTATTTACACATAGTGTTCTATCCGGTGCTTCCTAAACTAATTTTTGATCAACCATGACTATGGACCATGGACACGGATCATTGGCTTTGAGTGAGACGAAGACGCCGAAGCGTTAGCTGAATTAAAGGTTGCTTATCATCTTGTGGATATCTTATCTCTTGTGGACATTTCAGAGAAACTTATTGGCTCTTCATGTCGACTCAAGTGGAAGTCGTTTAGTAAGCAAATGTCTGATTTCATCCTGTAGTTTGTAAATGGCATATCGCAGCTTGGAATAAACTTTATTGATCAAAATGGAACCCATTGGAACCTACAGACTTTTGTCTACAGGAAACAAGTTTACTTACACCAACGGCTTTAATCTCTGGTCTTTCCGAAGCGATGAAATCGTTGAAGAGATTTTCGGCTTAGAATGGGTTTCTAAAGCACTTACTATAAAGTATGCTGTAGATTTTTGAAGAAATCACCTCAGACAAGCGAGAACGCTGGTAAGTACGGTGGATGCGATAGTTTCGTTCTCTAGTTTGTTCAACCTTTCCGGCATCGCTTATACGACACACCGCCGCACATTAGTGTGATGGGTTAAACCAACAACAAACCATGAAATGATCATCACATTTTTCGACAAAGCTTCTGCTTTAGGAAGTACAGCGACGCTTCATCGCAACCCGAATATTGAGCTTCATCCATTCCACCATCGTGTCCAGAGTCCTTGTCGGGGATTCACTTCTTGTCGCACTTACAGTTCCCTACGATACCTCAAAACGGCGACTTCTTTTCTTGTCGTTAAATTTCCGTCGTATCCATTTATTCGGCTTGTTCGAGCTTCCAATTTGCTTCAAGCGTCAGTTGATATACTTGCACCAAGTTATCCTGGAAGATGTCCTACAGTTGTGCGCGTATTTGCTGCCAACGGAGCATTCAATTCACCATCGTCAATGGCAAGAGCACGTCCGCGCCTTCCCTCATTTTCGCATTGAAATTCGCTATGACGGAATTTTTCAAACCAAACTTTCTCCGAGCGCTCCGTAACACTTCCTCTGCTCCATACCTCATTAGTGCTTTAAGCAGTATTGCTGAACTTCACCCTATATTGAAGTTGTAAAAGTAGATTTGTCGAACTTTTTAACGTCTAGAGTTCTATGGTTTAGAATTCTTCAGAAACGTGATTTGTTTTTTCTAGATTGTTCAGGTTACACGAGATGGTTATATAACTTCTATTCGGTTAACATTTAAATAGTCGCCCTGCAATGTGGGTCTTTATTTTCGAGTCTTCTTGAGTGGAATACTGCTCGAATGAAGGAAAATCACTTGCAGGTGTACTTTTATATACTTTTATAGAAGACGGTTGTTGACTGGTCGGCGACTGATAACAATTTCTTTTCGTGCTGACAGCGCATCCTGCAGCAATTCGTATTAAAGCAGCCACCACATAGCGAAGTAACACTCTACTCAGCTTTCATTTAACTGCTGCATTTATTACTACATGATGAGACATCACATGATCAATCGCACAGTGCAAATTTCAAGGTACTTGGATATTTGGACGGTCAGTCAGTCTTCACGAGCTGTGCGGACCCCAGCACATGTGCCATTCGTTCCCTTCTCTCGCAATCGTAGTCCATAGTGGTGGTATTGTTCAAGCATGGCTTGCGCTTGTTCGAGCAGCGCTTGCGAACCTCATACCGTGATCTGTAAAACAACTGCAGCTGCGGGTACAGCTGATTAACTTTGTTTGCGAACACAACCGCCCAACGTGTAGGTGATCGTCCAAGAGGACGTTTGCATTCTCTTGGAGTCCACTCTACTGTTCTTTTCGTCCATCTGTCGTCGGCTCTTCTCATTATGTGACCGGCCCATCTATGTTTCGCTGTCGATGTATATTCTCCTGGACCTCGAAGATGTGAGAGATTTCGAAGGCCACGGTTCGCATTCCGGCTACATATTAAGAGTAGCGGTTATATTTAAGAAGACATCGCCCAAGCGCTCTGTGAGTAGTGCGAAGCATTCTTGACGTAGTTGAAGTATCAACCCACGTCTCTGCAGCATAATAGAGCGCTGGGAGGACCGTAGAATCAAAATGAGGGCCGATTTTTCGGGTCCTTCAGTTGGTCGATGGCTTCTTTGAGAGGCCCTAATGCGGCCCAAGTTGCTCTCCTTCTTCTATCTAGTTCCTCGTTCATGTTGTTTTCCATGTTCATTGATCGCGAAAGGTAAACATCGAGGTGGTCTTTGTAATGAGAGAGCCATCCAATTCAATTGTTTCCCTTCGCACCATAGGTTTTTTATGAACTGGGTCTTTTTTCGATTTATGCAGAGTCCGATCTTTTTCCCCGCTTCGTTGAACTCGTTGATCATCACTTCTGCTTCGCTAGTACTTCTTGAGAAGATCATAATGTCGTCGGCAAAACGAAGGTTTGATGGGAATTTTTCATCAATACCTGTGCCTTTCGCATCCCAATCGAGTGACTTCATTATCCACTGCAGTGCGGCACTGAACAGCTTTGGCGATATTGTGTCGCCCTATCGAACCCCTTTTCCTATGGGTATTGTAAGAGGTCGATGAAAAACTGCATTTCCTTTGTGCAGTTCCGATAATAGTTGGACAGAGTCCTTATGTAGGACGGCCCCACTTCTTGGTGGACGAGCACTGATAGGATTGCAATCGTTTCGACGCTGTCAAACGCTTTCTCATTGTCGACTAAGGTTAGGACTAAAGGCAAGTGGAATTCCCGACAAACTTCGATGACCCTGGACACGGTTTGGATGTGGTCCATGGAGCAAAATCTTCGAAATCCTGCTTGCTCAACTAGTTGCGCCTCATCCTATGTCCTTGATATACGCGAGAGGATAATCTTCGTGAAAAGCTTGTAGAGTACACTTAACAAGCATAGAGGACGATAGTTACGAAGATCCCTTCGGTCTCCTTTCTTGGGTAGGATAACCGTGCGCGGCATCCTCCACTGGTCTGAGAGTTTCTCCTTTTGAAGGTATCCTGACATATGATTTGCTAGAAGTACTTGTAAATTGTGGCCTCCAGCTCTAAGGAAGTCGGCAGTGATATTATCGGGTCCTGGAGCTGTGCCTCTCTTCATGCTTTCTATCGCAACTCGAACCTCCGACGGAAGAATCCCAGATGGCTTCTCTCCAGCGGGATATTAGGGCCCGGGACGGGTTCCATATCATGGCAGAAAGTTTTGACGATCCCATCTTAGTTCATCAGGGCTGACAGCGGAACATTGTAATCACACAAGTCCCAACGGCTTTTTTCAGACTGCTTTTTTTTCTGCTGCTTCCAGTCTTTTCTTTTGCTTGTTCCATTGTAGATCTTCCTGCAAAGCTCTTCGGTAGCTGGCATTTATTACTAGCCATGTTAAACGTGTTGCAGTAGGATCAAGCTTCAGTTTTCTTCTGTTTTCGAGCAACTCCTTAGTAGTGATGGAGATGCGATCCTATCTTCTTGCTTGTGGAACTGAAGCCAACTCGGCACAACTTTTCAGTCCTTCGACAAGCAGCTCAAGTCTTCGGTCAGGTCTTCTTTAATCTGCCGTTTAGCCAGTCACGTTTAGACAGAACTTCGCTTAGAATATTCTCGTCGTACAGAGCTAAACTTTTTCCTCGTAGTCGATGAAGAGAGTTATTTTTCAGTTTGCGGCTGAATCGAATCTTCGCGCGAAGAAGGCGGTGATCGGAACCAGTACAGGATGACGGGACTACCGATGTGTCAAGTAGGCACCATCTTCGATTTGTCAGGATATGGTCTCTCCGCATGAGTCACGCCGTTGGGAGACTCCCATGTCCAGCGGCTGCTTTCTTTCTTCTGGAAGAACGAGTTTCCATGGAAGAGACGTGCTGCTGACAAGAGTCTTGCGAGACGGTTCCCATTCTCATTTCTTTCTCCTAGTCCAAAATTTCCGATCATGTATTTGCTCTCGTTGGCCTATTCTATTCTAGCATGAAGTCTTCAATAACAAATTTATGATATGCTTTATCATTGGGGATGACTTCCTCCAAGTGATAGTTGAACGCATTTAATTCGTACTCATCAGCTGCGTGGGTCGGTGTGTAGCAGTTGATGATAGTGATCTTCATATGATGCAACAGTGAAGACGGAGGAGGGCTATGCTAGAGAAAATGATCACGTATGAGCCGACGAGATGGACAATGGACGGGTGGACGACAAATCCTACGCCACCGACATTTCGTGACGAGAACTTTTCTCCGCAGATCACAAGGGTTCCGTTGTTTAGTTGGCGCATGCCGGACTTCTTGATTTTTGTTTCTTGTAATGCGATCACATAAAATTTTATGCGATCTGCGGCTACAAGAAAGGCGTGAAGATTGGCGTCTGTGGAGAGTGTTCTAGCATTATATGTGCATAGTAAGAAACAATCTCCATAGGGTTTCGTTTGTGTGTTCGTCAGATCCGGTTCCAATGACGTCCTTCGTAACCCGAGATTTTCTGGCCTCTCACCGGTCGTCTCACCGCCTGATGCCATAG